ATGTAAAATATATAATCATATATAACACATATAATAATAACAACCATATAATCTCATTCATGACTTCATGCATATTATTCTAGGAAATAGACTCATCGCAAGTCCTATTTCCATTAAACAATTCATGTCACTATTATGCACTTACCTAACCTCACTAGTCAATTCTCATCTCTTATCTTTCCCCTTGATCGATCTTACTTGTCAATGATTCCGGAACTTGTTTAGGCTCTGAATCGACATAATTATACATTTTAAGGCAATTATCAGATACCTACACCTTGTAATCTGATACTAACAACTTAAATGAACTTAATAAACTAATATACATTTTTTCCTTTAGGGGTGTACCGATGCACTATAGGTGCATCGGTACCCAAAATAGCTTCAAAATATTCATGCATCGATGCACCCCTTAATGCATCGATGCACCTTCAAAATTTGTCTTGGTGCATCGGTGCATACTCATAGTGCATCGATGCATTCCCGGCATTCGATGTTTCTTCTTTTAAGAATGCATCGATGCATATTGAATGTGCACCGATGCATCTTGCCCATAAATTACTCTTTAGGCACGAAAATCCATTTAATTCAACTCAAATGCTTCATATTTCATCACCTTTGAAATTCCTAACTTATATATACATGTTTAAACTCATTTATATTCATTTATCTCATCTTGAACCTTAATATCCTCTCTTATTTTTTCACTTCAAGAATCATACCAGATTTTCAACATGTTTTAAAACTCATTTTATCACTTCATATCTCTTAATTTAACCCTTGACAAGTCAAATTCAACTTCAAAATCTATTAACTCCTTCTATTTCACTAATTCACTTAAAAACTCTTCATATTTAATCCTTCATAACTAATCCAGTTTGAATTTTCAACATACTTGAATCTCTAAATAATCTTTCTTAACACCCCAAGAATCAAAAGTAAGGTTAAAACTCAAGAATTAACCAACTGAAATTAAGCTTACCTTTGCCATGGAGCTTACGGGAAGAGAAGAGGAAAGAGATAACCCAAGCTCCAGACTTTTCTTTTCTTCTCACCTTTTCCATGTATTTTATAACCTTAAAAGAAAGATAAAAATCTTTCTGGTCAAATGACCATTTTACCCTTTATTTCCTTTAATAATTACTAAATAACCTTCATCATATTTCTAATAAATCATTAAACTATTCAATTATCCTACTTTAATCACCAATTTCTGAAACTTTATAATTTGGTCACTAACCCGGTATTGAGGATGTTACATTTAGTGGTTGATAAGATTGTTAAGCAAGTGATCTTTATTGATTCTGTTGGTTTGGTCTCGGGTTTTGTGGATAACTAACGTTTGGATGATCCCTCTACCCTAGTTATAGATGTTTGAGTAAGGATTGTATTCTCTCTGTGGAGGTCCTGGAAAGTTTTTAAAATAATTTACTTGTGCATGATCATTCTCTTGTAACATCGGAAAATAATATGTAGGGTGATCCGCATGGTGTAGATTCCACATACTCGTGTTGTGCCCATTTTACATGCAACAAGAGATTGCACTATCTCTGTTAATTTATCAATTGTATTTTCTATAGAAACGACACTTACCTCATTAACCCATCAAGGGGGTTTATTAGTGAGGTGAAATTATTGAGAATTTGCAACCATGGTGGAGATTAAATTCTTTGTTGTGGTAGGAGTCATGTCGACGAGTGTTTCTTCACTAGTTGCATCGATCATCTTCATCTCTAAAGGAATTAAGCCTTTATAGAAGTATTGAAGGAGATTTTTTTCCAGTTAATTCGTGTTGTGGACAGCTTGCACAAAGTTTCTTCAATCGTTCAAGTAGACGTATAATGTCTTTCCATCTTTCTATTGGACTCCTAAGGTGTTTTGTCTTAATTCACTTGCTTTTGCCGTAGGGAAAAACTTGTAAAGAAAAAAATGATTCATATCAGTCCATGTAGAAACAAAATTAGGTGCTAAATAAATTAACAAATCTTTAGCTAAATCGGCTAGAGAGAAAGAAAAAACACAAAGTTTAATTTGATCTTTGGATACTCCCTGTGGTTTCATGCTAGAGCAAACCATATGGAATTCGGTAAGGTGTTTGTGAGGGCTCTCACTCGATAATCCATGGAAAGTAAGTAAAAGATGGATTAAATCGAGTTTGAGCTTGAATGGTGTTTCTCTATTCGAGAAAGTGACACATAATGGTTGTTGTTCAATAGGTGCCTCAACTAATTGTCGGATGGTTTGATTAACTATTGGATTCAGTTCTGCGTTGTGTAGGGATTTGTCATTAGAGGTGGTGTCAATTTCAGATGTTACACCTAGTGCTGGTTCAGGTTCGTTATGTTGTTGTTGATTCCTCTTCTCCTGATGTTTTTTAGCGTTAAGTTTTCAATCGAGAGCAACGATCTCAAGTTCAAATTCTACTAGCTCTCCTGGTCATAAATCAACAACAAATTTTAATCAGTAATTTTTCTGAACGGCGCCAATTTGACAAGCGTCATAATTCTCAAATAAATAAATCTCTCAATTTAAATAAAATAAAACAAAATAAATAAATAGAATAGTATACAGAAATAGGATTGATCCACAGGGACTAAGGAATTTCCAATTAAATATGATTTGATCTTTAACTAGAAAATCTATAAAATAAAATAAAAAGAGGGGTTTATTGAATTTAATTGAATAAACTAAAATTAAATAAAAATAACAAAGCAATAAAAATAAATACTTGAAAGAGATAATGATAGGAGATAGCCTCTAGCTTCACTTTGACTTGACTCATCTCGATCCTTAAAATAGATTTTACTTCAAAATCTTGCCGGTTATAATCTACAAGGCTCAACCCTTGTAACTTGCTCTTTTCTCATGTGAATTAATCCCTAGAATCAATTCTGGAAAATTAGTCCTTGTTTAGATTTAGTTTTCGACTATCGATGTTAACGCTAATATCATCTTTAATGTTGAAAAAGCTCGTGCTCAGATTATGCGTCTCAATGAAAATCGAACCCGATCTTGATTTCCCTTAGCGAACCGATGCTAAATTTGTTCTTAAGGATTTGAATTTGCTACAAGACGGTTCTCCTCCTCAACAGTAATTCAAAACAATCTTCCAAACCAATGCCGACTTTTTGAATTGAAAGTGTAAAGAATTTAAAGATTAAGTCGATTACTTAACCTTGTTTGTCGGAAATCAAGAAAGAACTTTGAAGATGTAAAGCGTGTTTTCAATTCTCACGAAACGGATTGAATCGTCGCTCAACTATTGGCTAAAAGAGGTTTAACTAAGCATGGATTAGATCGTGCTTAAATAGAACTTTAACTTAGCATTGTGAAAAGAAAATAATTAAAGAAAAGTAGAACTTCAATAAATAGGCAAGGAAATATAAATTCCAATCTGAATTCAATGGTTGAACCTAAGGGGTATTTATAACCCAAAAGTTCTAAGTAAATAAAATAACTAATTCATAATCAAACTAAAAATCCTACCAAGAGTTCTAATAAAATAACTAATTCCTAAATAAAATAATAATAAAATAATCAAACTAAAAAAAACCTAAATCTAAAAGGTTTATCATAAAAGATAAAAAATAAATATTTAAGTCTTGTACTCCTAGTTAAATTCTGCTACATCTTATGAATAACTTTATTTCAGGTAAATTCTAATTAAATATTCAAGATGCTGACTGGACCACTGAAATATGTTGCTTTTTGGGCTAATTAATCCAATAAAACTCATGTCCAAAATAAACTAAAAATAAAGATAAAATCAATAATTTCCAGTCCAAAAATAAAGAGTAAATAACAATATAAAACACTCATCATCTCTCCTTAGACACTCTGGCTACAAGAAACGAAAAACCAGCAGCAGATAGGGGGTTTCGCTCCAGATTAGAGCGATGAAATTTCGTGAGGCAAACCCTAGGATTATCCCACCAATCACTATCATTAATCATCAAGTTATTTTTAACTGCTTTCAACCATACCAACGCTCCTAGCTTAGAGTAAAAAATCATCTCCTTAAGAGTAATCCGCTTGTCATAAACAACTTATCATTCCGGCTCAACCAAATACTCTGTATCGTTGCCGACACAAGACAAGCCAGATATTTCATTTCTGTTATTAATACATATGTGCATGCTCTAAAAACGTTTTTTTAGATCCGTTAAAGATTGTAGAACTAAATATCAAGAAGAGAGACAATATACTTGGGAAAAATTAAATGAATATGAGAGTGTAGTATGTTATACTAACTTCCTTATTAGTTCCATCATTATTCTTAAATACTTATGGCATATGACATAAGTAAGAATGGATGGGTCTGATGTGCTTTCATGGTGCAATACATCTATTTCTTCTTTATGTCTTTTTTCCTCTCCTACTTTTGAGTTGCTTATATTTTGATGAAATATTAGTGTTGGAGATGTAATTGAGATGTTGGAGAATCAAGACCAATCCAGCTAGTGGCGGACGCACATTTATTTTTACTCTAAAATTTAATTTTTAATTAATTAACTATTTTATTAATAATATTCATCTTAAAATTTTAAGGCAAAAGCCTTGCCCTAAATCCACCACTAATTGAGAAAGATGGAACCCAATCGCCTCCCGCATTTTACACTTTCATCTAATATTTTATTCAAGTCGTATTTGTACTCAAACCCCATCTCCACCAATTTGCTGGTGTCACATGCAACTGCTTCCTTGTCTTCTCCCATGAACCTTTCCATTGAGATCAATCAATAATAATTTCTTCCATTTTCTTGATTCCAGTAATCATAGATAAAAAACAGTAGGTAAACAGGAATGAAAGATTTTATGTTACGGAACGAAATTTTAAAATTTTAAAGTGGAGAAAATTTATAAACTTATAAGGACAAAATCAGATTATTAATAAAAAAATATTTATAACATATAATAATTTACTTTTTTTTCAAAAAAATTAGCTATCCGAATCGCCCCTCAATCCATTCCTACACGTAAATTCATTACTACTTACTCTTGTGATATCCGATATTGCGAGTAATTTTGTCAAAAATGCGTTGCCATTTCTCTGATGGTTGGGTTAGCCGCTGCACAAACGAATATGCCTCTCATGTAGGGTTTCTTCATGCAGAAGATATGTGCATCTGTAACGTCTTCGATATGCTGAACAGGAACCGATCCCATAACTTCTTCCATAAATTCTAATCCCTCAAAAGTTTGGGGTTTGCCGATGAGCTGCGAAAACAACACTTCCACGCTTAAAGGCACGTAAGAAAGTACAGTCTCTCCCCCTACAAGGCCACACGCGAGTGTTACAACTTCTAATAACTTCCCATCTCCAGGATCTTCGTTGTATCTCAGTGCCTCTTTCTCCGCTAAGGTTTTCGATATAATATATATATGCCTACCACCATAGTGTTAGATAAAATTTGTAACTGTAGAGATATAATTACATGTATAATGTCATCATAAAGTATAATACAAAATTAAGTGATCAATTATGTTACACGTCTCTTAAGTATTAAAAATATCATGAAAATAAAAGTGTAGATACCATGAAGTTAGAGTTATAATTTGATGAGGAGTAATCAATTATATGAACATGTAGTGATCTTTAAGAAATATGTCAACTCGTATTACTCTTATCCATGGTTATCAAAACCGGACCAGACTGACCGGTTGAACCTTGAACCAGTGGCTTGTCCGGTCCGATTAACTTTCAAAACCAATTTTTCAATAAACCGGTTGAAAACCGGTAGAACCGGCTGAGAATTTCTAAAACCGGTGTGAACCGGCTGAAAACTGATAAAACCAGTGTGAACCGTCGGTTATGTTTTTTCATTTTTAAAAAAAAATTAAACCAAATGACGTCGTTTGTTAAACGAGCCGAGTCAAACTCGAGTATTATTGAGCTCGACTAGAACTCGAAAACTTTAAAAGTAAGCTCAACTCGACTCAAAAACTCACGAGCTAAAAATTATCAAGTTCAACTCGAACTCGAAATATAATATTGAAACTTGAACTCGAAAAGGCTTGAACTCAAAAAAAATTTAGAAGCTCGATTGAAGCCTGAAATTCGAGCTCGATTGAAGCCTGAAATTCGAGCTCGATTGAAGTGAAAGAATAGTTCGCTCTGTGCTCACCAAAAGGCTACATGATTTTGAATGACAAATTACCTCTATTATTTATAGAAGTCAGTTGGGATACTCTTCTATGTTTCTTAGCCATGTGAGATTGTATTGTTCTCATATTTTTACTCTTTAGACTTTTGGGAAGCTCTTCTATGTTTCTTAGCCATGTGAGATTGTTTTTAAAAAAAAAATTAAACCAACTGAAATCGTTTGTTATGATTTTTTTCAACCCCAAATTTATTTTTGATTTAGTTATATATATATTTATTATTTAATATGTTTTACCTAAATATTATGTTGTAGTTGATTTGAATCATTTTGTTTCACTTGATTTTATGGTTTTTAACTTATATATATTATGACTTGTGATAATTTTATACCTTTTAATATTGTAAACTTAAAAAAATATTATATATATATTAATATTTCTTTGAATATTATCTAAATTAAAAAAAAAAATTATTTTATATAAAATCTGGTTCAAACCGGTTGAACCACGGTTGAACCAGTGAATCAGTATCTTCACCGGTTCAAGATCCGGTCCGATTTTAAAAACATTAACCTGATCTTATTAGAGAGTTTTTACGGATGGACCCACGTCATAGGTGGGAGGAACAATACCTTAAACTTTGATGGTCCAATTATTTTAAGTCATTGGAGTTTTGAAACCATTACAATTAAATCTTTGTCCCTCCCAATTGTTTTGGTAATAATTTTTAGGTACATACAATTTTAAAATTATTGGAATTAAGTATCGACCTTAAATTTTTTTGGTTTAATTACTTTTAAGACCTTGAATTTTAAGATTAATGTAATTAAATTCTTATCTCTTAATTTTATGATTAATTACTTTTTAAAACCTTATTTGTTTTAAAGTTAAACAATTGTCCCTAATAGTTCAATCTTGACTTCGTCCCTAACGGCAAGAGCAAATCTGTCTTCTTGGAAGATACAATCATCTTCTAAGCGATCTTCATCAATAGATTCAGATACGCTTCCATAAATCTAACATCTTGTTCTTAATGATTTGGTATGGCAGATCCTAATTAGATTTTATGTCCATTATGTTTGAATCAGTCACATAATATACTATCTGTAATAATTTTGGTAACCGTTGATTAATGCTATTAAACATGAGAATTAAAGAGAGATTTAGTGTTTACCCGCATGTATTCAAAGCCGCGGTTGAAGGTGATATCAGCCGGAGTCCAATTCGATTCATTTACGCAAGATTTCAAGTTGAATCCATCTTTTGTTAGTGGAGAGGTGCCAGCACCGAAGCAGTGTAAATAAGCCGTTTAACGCTTTGTGATTCGATGCAGGACCGGACAATGCTCCTCACTCCTGAAAATGCTGCATCAACTACTTCCTGGAACCCATAAAGGAGTTATCTTAGTCGACGAATGCTACGAAAAAGCAGCTAGAAAAGATTGGGTAATAAATTTACCTGAGAAGTATGTGAACTGCCAGCAGTTTGCTGTGGAGTAACGACATGAAAGACAAATTCACACCCTTGAATAGCGTGTTTGAACTCATGGGGATTGTATAAATCAGCTTGAAATAAAACGTTTTGTCAGCACCGGGGAGGGACTTTAAAAGCCCAACTTTTAACTTGTCGTCTGCAATTTCATATACACTTGAGCAGCGAACAAGCACAAAATTAAAGAAAACAAAAAGGTGAGAGTTTGAGAGAGAGAAGATAAACCCAAGTTTCGTAGCGTTGCATGGACAGTGTAACCTTTGTCCAAGAGCTTCTTAACCAGCCATGAACCTAAATATCCAGCACCTCCAGTAACGCAGACCTTGCTTGAAGCTTGTTGCCTCCCCATTTCGATCTCTTAAATTATTTTGAGCTCCCTCAGTCACAACTACAGAATATATATATATATATATATATATATATATATAACAGACCAAATTTTTATGCTGGAAACAAATTACAAGATTTGAAAATTTTAAAGGAACGACCCCTCCGACCATCACCTTAGTACATCACTGGTCCCAGTAGCACCAGCTTAGGAAAGAAACATATAAAGAAACATATGTCCCAATGACAGCTGTAAACACTAATTTTTTCATTTCATTATCATTATTATTAAAATTAAAATTATTAATATTAATTATATATTATAATTTTTATTATTAAATAAATAAATAATTACAAATTACAATGATCCCAGAGCCCAAGAAGAGGCCCAAACACTGTGGCCCAATCCAGTCCAGGCCCAGTCTAGTCTAGGCCCAACAGAACCCTTCTAGGGTTTCCTTCATCTTATCCCAGTCGCCGTAGATCCTCAACCATTGGATCTAATCTGATCCAACGACCCTGATGTAGTCCAGCAAAGAAACCTTAGGGTATCATAACCCTAGGGCCATGCAGCGCCGCCTCAAGCTTTCAGAAACCCACCGCCGCTCGTTACCGACACTCCATCTGCCAGATGTCTCGTCCAGCCGCTGCTGACACTACATTGCCATGCCACCTCGCCGTCGAAGACTCCAGAATCACCAGTTGCCCCCTCCACGTTGCGGCTACAAAGGTGAGTCACCACTATAGTATGGTGACTCACCGGAAATCACTACTGGAACCAGTTCGAAGGGCGTACCTCCATGGCTATAAAAGCCATCGCACCTGCAAAAGAAGAGATAACGAGCAAGAACAGAGAACAGAAGATGATAGCAACTATAGAGAGAGCAACAACGAAGCCAACAACAAGCAAACCAAACACCAAAAAACCGAGAAAAACAAATAAAAGAATAGTGGGAAGAAACTTATCATCGAGGAGCCTCCACGAGCCACCGGAGAACCGAAACGTCGAAGAAAACTATCCTAGATCTACGACAATTGGTAAGGTTTTAGGCTAAAACAACCTTAGATTCGGATAAAAAAAATAGGGGCTTTGATTTGGGGTGTGTTTTGTAATTTTCGGCTACCGTTTACGGTGGCCGGCGGCAGTGATCGGTGCCGGAAACGGTTACCGGCCGGAACTCAAACTCCCTCCAGTGGAGGGTTTAGAGAGAAGCGAGAGAAATGATATCTCTCTTTTTAGAGAGAGAAAGAGAGGAAAGAAATGAGAAAAAAATGGCCCATAAAGGCCGGCTGTTGGGTTTATATACCCCTTCCGCAGTCCATCAGTTTTGTAAACTTTATATTTTAGTCACTAAAATCAAATTTTAGATTCTTTTAATTCGGTGTTCGAATTTTACATATATTTATTTTAGTCCTTTACATAAAATAATATATATTTTAGGTAAATAATAAATTTAGTCCTCTAATTTTAGAAATTAATATTGTAACCCCGAAATCATGTTTTAATTTGTTTTAATTTAATATTCGAATTTGTAATAATTTTATTTTATTCCCCAAGTAAATAAATATGTAAAATAACATGTTTAATCCCTGTAACTTTAAATGATTAATTACTAATCAGGATATTTAAGTTTTATATGTTATAATTTAATCAATACTTTCATTTAATTAATAGTTTTATTATTTTTTATGTTAATATTATAGTTTTAATTTCATTTATTTTTCTTATTGTTTTAATTTTATATTTATTTTAGTATATTTAATTATTTTATTATTATGTTATTATTATTATAATAATATATATAATATATATATATATATATAAATAATATTTATTTATTTTCATTTCTATTCAAATCCTATTTATAAATTTAATATATTACTTTTAAATCATTTTAATCATATTTTAATATTTATTTTTCAATATTAAGAAAGGCTAGTCTTATAGCAACTGGATGTCCATTTTCTGATATTTTTAAATAAATAAATATTTTAAATTATTATTTTTAAATAAATGTTTTAATATTTATTTATTTTTTAATATTAAGGAAAGAGCTGTCTTAAAGCACCTAGAAGCCCTTTTCTGATATTTCTAAATAAATAAATATCTTATATATATATATATAAATTAATAAATTTTATTAAAATTATAGTAATAAATTTGAAATAAATAGGATTATAAATTAAATATATATTTGAATTTTGAAATTTCTAATAATAGAGACAATTTATAATTAATAAGTACCAATTTTGGGCGTTGTGGGGGTGCTATTCCTTCCTCAAACGTAATCGACCATGAATCCCTTTTTATTATTAAAAAGAATGAATTTTTGGTTAAAACGCAGATCAGTTTATCTTTTAACTGATGTTTTCTTAAAAACTCTTTTAAAAGATAATTTTTAGGTATTCGACCTACCTAACCCAAAAGGTCGATGGCGACTCACAAAACATTTTTAAAAAAAATCTCATTTATTCATATCACTTTTTCCGCCAGGTAAGTAAAAATTTCGTGTCCGGGCGAAAACTGGTTACAACAGTTTGGCGACTCCGTTGGGGACTTGGTCAAGCTTTTAAAATTAATTATAAATTGTTTCTATTAATTAGAAATTAGAAATTCATATATTTAATTTATAATTCTTTTCTTTTAATTTTTTTTTACTTATGGTTTTCATAATATTTATTTATTATATATTCTTCTTTACTAATTATGTTTTTTTTATTTTATTTTTAGATATTAAATTTCATTTTTTAAATTTATTTGTTTGTCGGAGGTTTGAATATTTCTCCTCACACACAACACTTGCATTGCATAACATAAGTTTTATAATCAAGCTTGTCCCTTTTAAGTGAGAGTGAAAGCGACGTCTTCGTGAGAATTTATTCTCCGTGTCAGACCTAGCAAGTAACTTTCAGAGTTCGTATGCTCACTGTCTTCGTGAGAATTTATTATCCGTGTCAGGCATAGAGAAATGTGTCCCCTCGAATTGAACTCGATCCGCTTAAGTCTGTAGTGGACTAGGATTGAGGGTTGGCAGCCTAAGGGGGCACTAATAAGGATAATTCGGGTATCTTTACTCTTAGAACTGAAACCTTGCATATAATAAACCCTAGAAACTCTCCCGATCTGAAACCATGCCGAAATTTTATCCAAAATAGGTGTACACAAAGGAGAAATAAGCTCTAGCTTTTAATTTATTTAATTTATTATTATTTTTTCCCTCTCTGAATAAATACATGCGAACTAGAAATCATGCGGTTAGGTTAATTTTTTTCCCAAACAAAGCATGAAACTAGAAAGCATGAGGTTAGGATTTATACCTTGATAGATATAAATTTTTTCTTTCCATTAATTGGTACTTGTTGAGTTAATCGATTGACGAATATGGCCAAGAGGGGGGTGAATTGGCAATTAAAATTTTGGTGGAAGCTATTGCAGAAAATTGAAAGAAATTTGCGCAGCGATTTAGAGTGGTCCGACTTTCTCAACCAAAGTCTACGTCCACTACCTTAGCTATCCACACTAAGTATTTTCCACAAATTCACTAATTTGTCTTTCTTTTGAGGACAAAGAGTAACCTTACAAACCCTCAAGAATTATACCCCAAATTCTTGTGAACACTCTCTCCCAAAGAGAACAATACAAATTTGCAAACTTACAAGGAAATCCTCACAAGGTAGATTGTTTGCACAATTCTAGAACAAAGAAAAGAACACTCAAGAATGAATACAATTGAGCACAATAAGTGTTCTTGAAAGCAAAATGAATATTGAATGAAAAATAGGCTTGAAATGCTCAAACTTGAGGTTTGATGCTTTCTCTTTGATTCTCTCTTGATTCTAGTTGCTTGATGTTTCTTGTTGTTGATCAATGGCTTCTAAGCTTGCTTAAATACACCTTGAATCACTTCTGAATGTTGGGGATCATTAATGAAGTTTTTGGAGCCGATTAAGTGTGAAAACAATTAATATTTCTGCTTGGAGCGTGGGGGGAATCGGTACCCCTAATGGGGAATCGGTTCCCTAGGTGTAAAATTCAAATATTCGACCGTTGAAGTGGGGGAATCGGTTCCCTCCGAGCATACTGGAATTCTTGGAGCCATACCATTCAGAGGGGAATCGGTACCCCCTTGGGGGGGAATCGTTTCCCTCTGAGCAATCTGGAATTTTTGGCTTTGAAATGGTTCGAAATATTTTGTAAAATCGTTTTGAAATTATTTTAAAGATTAAAACCTAATTTTACACTTGAGTAAGGATTTAAAATGAACTTTGAAATACTTTGAGTAATATTTTGATATTCGATTTAATATATCGAATATGCTTAGAAAAAATCTTTTTCAAAATTAAAATTCTTTTAATTTAATTTGTTATATCGAAACATCAAAATGCTTTCAACAATCTCCCCCTTTTTGATATAACAAAACATTTTAAGATTTTCTAATTTCAAAATGAATTTTGATTTTGAAAAATACTACTCCCCCTTACTTTAACACTACTCCTCTTCAAAAACTCC